CCATCCATCCATCCATCCATCCATCCATCCATCCATCCATCCATCCATCCTTCCACCCACCTACCCACTCATCTACCCGTCAACCCACCCATCCATCCATCTGTCCCACTGTATTACATTCTGGGGATACCATGGTAGCAGAACAGCCCCATGAAGCTCATCAGCTCACCCAGAGAGTCTTACACACCCTCACAGCACCCTGCAGGCTAGGCCACAAGCCCTTCTCAGTTCATTCTCACAATGAGCTGCTTGGCCATGATCCAAGGTTAATCAGAAGCTGGAGACTCTCCCAGGAGTGGTCCTTATTTTGTTTTTATTCCATTCAGCCAGGAATGAACAACGTGCTAGACTATGGCCTGGACCGAGTGACCAATCCGAACGAAGTTCAGGTAAATCAGGTAGGTCTCTGCTGCACCCTGTGGACAAAGCCTAGATCAGGTTCTTGGGCTGGGGAGGTGTCCACGTGTCTGTTGTCTGTTCTTGTCTGTAGGGGCAGTGCTATCTCTCCCTGAGACTTAAAAAGCGAGGAGGAGATTTGGGCTCTGTGGTATCAGTGTTGGGAGGAGCGAGGCCACGGCAAGCGTCCTGCATGCAGAGAGACAGAGAATGTCAGGGGCAGGTCAGCACAATTGGGATCTAGATGGTTCGTTTTCAGACTTTGCCGAGTCACTCCCCCCTTTAAAAATCTGATGAAAGTTATGAACCTGTTCCACCCAAAGATACATAGACAGACATTTTACACACAGTTTCAGCCTGTTGCCTTACCCGCTGAAAACTATAGTCCTCAGGCTTAAAACCTTTGCATCAACTTTTGTTTTAATTTTAACCCACGTGACAGGACCTGAAATGTCACCATTTCCTTTGCATCTCATTGGAGTAATATCTTTGCAAAGATTCTCCTATGCTTTTTATTTTAAAAGGACCCTTTCCCCAAGTAGGCCACCATTTATGATGGATGGCCAATTTCTTATGATGTCTTTTTATTGAAAGAGATGTAATTCATACGCTGTTGAAATAGAGAGCATCCAGGTGAGGGTTTCTTACCTGTGGCATTGTTATTTGGGGCCAGATAATTCTTTGGGGCTCTCCTGCACACTGTAGGATGTTTAGCGGTGCCCCTGGCCTCTACCCACTAGAGGCCAGTAGCTCCATGCTTTTCCCTGCCCACCTCCCGGTTCTGACCATCAAAAATGTCTCCAGATGTTGTTCAGTGTACCCTGGAGGGCAAGACTGCCTGGGCTGAGAACCACTGATGCCAGTGAAACAGCCTAAACCCTATTTAAATTCATCTTAGATGGTTTCATTGCTTTCTGTCCAGGGTTGTCTTTGGGCAGCAAAGGGTCGGGGAACTCTTTAGCCTAGTGTGTCCTAAAGGCAAGTGGGGGAGCTGGGAGAGCTGTACCAGGAAAGAAGGAAGAAAGAGGTCCACGGGGGAGAGGAAGGAACAGGAGAAAGGTGGCGAGGCAGCTCTGTTGGTGTGCACTTCTGCCCCCGGGACCTGGGACTCAGGATGACCCTGAGGACTGGCTGCCACCCCCGCTGGCCCCCCGTGTGAGGGAGTTAGAGGCCCAGATTTAGAGATGGAGTCTATCGGGCACCCAGAGGGTGTCACCCAGGGGCATTGCTAGGTCCCTTGTCCACAGCGCAAGGTGAGCCCTCCTCTGGTACACGTGTGGCACTGTCAGCCTTCAGCGGCCTTTTCTACGTTCCCTTTGTCAGATGGCAGATAATTGCTGAGGCCTTGTAGGCTTGGTTGCCACGGAAACAAAATCATCCTGGAAAATACTGAACCCGGGGGAAGATTCTCCTTTTTTTTTTTGTGGATGACTGGCAGCTCTGGGATTCTTTCTGGGGTGTGTGGGGAGGGTAGAGGTGGAAGGCACAGCCCCCACTCTGACCCCAGCCAGCCAGGATCTTGCTCATCCGTGTGCGTATGTAAGTGTGGCGGTGGCGGACCTTTAGTTCAGCTCCGGGAGGAGAGCTGAGCCCCGCACTGCTCCATCCGCCTTGCTTCTGTGGGGTAACTTCCAGGGAGCACGGTCGGACATCTCTTCCCTGAGGACGCATCTTCATGCTCACTGGCAGGCAGGCTAGGAGGAGAGCCTTTTGGCTTTCAAAACCCAGTTCTAGCCGGGTGCTGGCAGTAGTCTCAGCCCAGCGCGAGAGCCTGCGGGTGCCTCCTGAGGCTGAGGGCTGTCCCTGGGCGAGGGTGACACGGGGAATGCTTCCACTTTTGCCTACCTGTCTTCTTCTCTCTCTCTCTGTCTTCCCCCAGCTCTCTTTCTCCTGTCTGCACTCTGGCTGCTGTGGAACATTCAGAAGAATAAAGAACCGTAATTTTTGCACAAGCAGGGCCCCTCCCGGCCCCTCCCGCCCAGCCAGTCCCAGTGCTGGGGGCAGATCCAGCTATTAGGGGAATGCAGCCTGGTGCTGTGTTTAATCCGTGTGCAACATTTCCACAGTTAAACTATGTATATCCCCTGTTTTTTGGGGTTTATCTGCCCCGAGAGGAGAGGATTGAGAGAACATGAAGTGTCCCCATGGGGCCTTGGGTGTGCAGAGGGCCCAGAGGTTTGTCTCATTGCAGAGAAGAGCTCACGGTGCTGGTTTGAAGAGAGAGGCCATTTCTGAGAATTAGTAAATTCTGGAATAGGTATCTGCTTTCCTTAAATGGAGGCAAATAACCCAAAAGATAAAAACACCGTTGAGCATAGGAAAGGAGGCTGTTAGACTGGCAGGTGTCTAGGGGCCTGGGTGACCCACTTCTTCAGGCTGATGGCCACTGGTCGGTGTGGCTGTCCAGCCCTGGGAGGATCTGGCCAGGGGTCAGGGACCACACCCAGAGAGCATGTCCTCTCTTGTTTCCAACACTGTGAAGCATATGGGGGTGCTAAGCATGCACAGCCCTCCACTTTCCCCTTATTTCAGAGAGAATTTGGCCCTGCAGAGGGGAGACTGAGTGGCAGCCGGGTGCTAGCCCAACTGGGGGCAGTGGTGTGCCCAGGGCTGGCCCGTCCTCCTCCGACCCAACAGGGTCACCGTGCGAGAGGGCCGGTGCGATGTGCTGAAGGGAACTCTGGCATGCGGCGAATCCCAGCTCTGCCACTCCCTGCATGTGTGATCTTGGACAAGCTCTTGAGCCATTCAGAGCCTCAGTTTCCTCATCTATAACTTGGGAAGAATCCTTTCTCAGAGGATTACGCGAGCTCATTTACACGAAGTGTCTGGTGTGGCATCCAACACAGAGAGACTCGCCAACAACAGCTATCATCAGCGCTGTGACCGCCACCATGCCGCTGGGGAGATGATTTATGGGCACCCTGGACCGTATACCCAGCCGATTTCTTCTTATGTCCTTACACTGTCTCATACTTCCACGCCGGCTGGAGGTGGAGGGAGGAAGATACCCACCAACTCCACCTCCCTGCCTAGTCTGCTAAACAGCTGCTGAGAACAGCAGTCTACACTGGCGTGCACCTGGGTGTCTGGGTAAAAGACCAAGTACAGCTCCACAGCATTAAATAGTGTGCTCTGCCCAGCCTTCAGCCTGGAGCCCTCGGAGAGAGGAAGCCCCCAGGTCCTCCCACCACCCAGGACTCGCTGCCTTCTTCCTGGGGTTCCTGTGTAGCTGGTGCCAGCCGACTCTCACGGCTGAGCCCTGCCCACAGCCCCTTGGGTGCCAGGCCCAGGGCTGCACGTTTCATGCCTTGTCCCAGCTCAGCCAGGACTCACAGCCACCTTCTGAGGTCACGAGCACTATTAGCATCTCTGTTTCGTGGTTGTGCCGGGCCAGGAGATTAAACAGCTCATCCCAGACACACGGCTCAGAAGTGGCAAGCCGGGATTTGAACCTGGGCTGAAGGGCACGCAGGCTCACACTGTATCCTGCCTGAGTTCTAATGTCTGTTATGCAGCTTCCAGAAGCTTTACTGGCTTTCATTACGTTCTTACAGCAGCTTGGTAGGAGAGGACAGGTGGTATTAGTTTCATTTTTCTTATGACAAAACAGAAGCAGGGTTAAGTCGAGCACTTTGCCCCACCTGGCCCAGCCAGGAGCAAATTCCCAGTTTTTCAGCTCCTGTCCCGACCACACTCTTTGGTCCTGCACCCAGTAGGTGTCCTGTGCCCTGGCCCACCATCCACACTTAGTGGGACCCACATTTTGTTTAATGTTCTCCTGTCACTGTCTTAAAACCCTTCATTTCTCTTGGACAAGGCCCTGCATTTTCATTTTGCACTGGGCCCCTGAGAATTTTGTAGGCCGACCTGCCTTGACCCGATCAAGAATATGGGTAGGACAGAGACTTAACTTCAGATGATCATAATCTCAAATCCTTGTCTCCTCGGACACCTGGCTGCCTCCCAGTCTCTTGCCGGCTTTGTGTTAACCATTTCAGTTCCCGTGTTCCTGGGTTCTGACTTTTGACCCTCTTAGGCGATGGTGCTGACCCCTCCTGCCCTGTGATTGTCTACAACCTGCATCTGGGTTCAAGGACAAAAACCAGCCATGGAGCTCTGTAAACAAGCTCTAGATATGCACCTATCTGGGCAAATCTCCAAGTGAAAAACGTTAGAAATCCAAGAATGCAGAGCATCTGAGGATTCCTTAGGCAGAACATCTTTCCATACATAACAAGTATGTCACCCAGACAAGGAATAAAGAAGTGGCTTCTCTCCAGGAGGGCCACCTGTTGAGAAAGCAAGGGATTTGTGCATGAATTCCTGGGTGGAAAAAATGTTTATTTCTGATTTTATTGTGAGGTGGTTTTCTTTGAGTTGCTTAGAAATGTGCATGTGCATGTGCATGTGCGTGTGTGTGTGTGTGTGTGTGTGTGTATTTCTAAAAATAACTTCACTTTAAATCAGTGTTTCTTAGGCCTTGGACTAAGTCATAATAATATTGGTACAGGTCTATGAGAATTAGCAAATAAAATGCAGCATGCCAAGTTAAATTTAAATTTCAGGTGAATAATGAATAAATGTTTAGTATAAGTATGTCCCCAGTATTGCCTAGGCATCCTGTATTTTATCTTGTAATTAGGGCTAAAACGATACCCTGTGTACTCTCAGCAGTGGTCTATGGAATCCAGTCAATAACTGTTGTATGTTGAGTCTCTGCTCTATGCCAGATACCCATGTCTATTATCTCATTTAATCCCCATTTCTCTAACGACTTTCACAAATGAGGAAAGGGAGGCTTTGAAATGCTAAATTACTCCCAAAATTATGTTGCCAGTGAGTAACAGAAGCAGGATTTTGACCTTGGCCTGGGGCCAAAGTCCATACTCTTTCCTAAGCCTTATCCACCAACACCCCCAGTCAGATTTTCTCTCCATCTTTTAGAAAAGCTCAGAACACTCCCCCAACGTGCGCCAACACACATACACCCATAAAGGACAGAGAGACCCTATCTGTCATTCTAGAGGAAGCTGACCCTAAGGAAAGGTATTTTTAACCCTAGAAATAAACACTAAAATCCATGTGGACAATCTGAGGTAGAGGCAGGGAAGGCTGACTCCCAGAGGGTGGCTGGTAATTCTGGAAATCAGAGAACAGCAAAGCGCAGCACTGCTGCAGAGCCCTAGCAGGGTCGTAAAATCAAATACAGTGGATTAACATAAAAAAAATGTTAAAACCCTGAAGACTGAAATGCCCCAGAAACAGACATTATTAGACCAATATGTGAGCGTGCACGTGATTGTCTTGCAAGGATAGCTCCCCACGGACCCCAGAGAACATCAGGGCAGTGAGAATCTGGCTCATCAAGCTGCTGTGGGCTCAGGAGCCTGCTGACAAAGCCGTGGCCGACAGGAAGTTTGATCTTGAGCTGCAGCACTTTGCTGGAGGGTGTTTATCATGCTGGCTGCTGAGCACAAGCCTAGTACGATTATGATCTTTACCATCATTGGTGGGTTTTTTTAATCTCACAGATTTGTTGAGATATTATTGACCTATAACATATGTAAATTTAAGGTGTATAAATGTGATGAATAGATACCTGTATATATTGCAGAATGATTACCACAATGAGGTCAGCTAACACCCCCATCCCCTCACATAATTAAGATTTTTTTGGTGTGTGTGGTGATAACATTTAAGATTCACTCTCTTAAATATATAGTAAAATATTTCAATTACAGTCACCGTGCTAGGCCTTAGATCCCCAGATCTTATAGTGGGGGATTTGCTTTACCATCATTAGGGTTGATTAAAGAGGGTTTCCCGTGTTTGCGATGCATTTTGTGATTGGGGATTTAGCTCTCTTTTTGTTTAGATTTTAAATTAAATGGATTGTGTCTTCCATTCGGCAGTATCCTCAGCTTTAGAGCAAGGTAGGAATTGCTGAAGAGAGTGAGGTATTTTGTTTTCGGGGATCACTCTCAGTGTTTCCAAGGGCAGATGTGGGTTGGAATCCTGGCTCAGCCAATTACCAACTTGGGAATGTTGAGAAAGTTGCCTGTAACCTCTCAGAGTAATAAAACCCTCCTCCCTTAAACTCTGTAAGGGCCCAGAATGCTATGTACTAACTGCTAAGTGGTTAGTAATTACCCAAAAGTCCAGTTTCCCCTTTGAGCAGAGGGCATGGACCAGTAGATACTATTCTTAATCCACTTAAGCAGACTCTAAGAGAAAAATCTGATTATACTAGATTCAAATGCAAATCCACTCTGGCCCCAGGGTCCTTTTTCTACCTGAGATGTGTGTCTTGTAAAATAGGGCCTCATGTAGATGGAGAATGGGAGCAAAATGGTTGCCAAAACCTTTGGCATATTTGGGGAGTGTCTTCAACTTTTTAAGTGGAAAAATATTCTGTTAAGCTTAGAATACATCTCCATTTTTCTAGACCTCCACGCACACACAGTCATCATTTATTTGCTATTTATGGAGCATCTACTTTGCCTCAGCCATTATGCTTGGGAAGATGGAATAGTTGCTCTGCTCTTCATAGTGCATAGTGGGTGATATGCATATTAAACAAAAGAGTCACACAAGCAATTATATAAATATAATTGTTTTAAGTGCCGTGAAGGAGGAAGTCAGGGTGTGTCTTGAGTCCAAAACACACCTCCTTGAGCTTTACCTTCCTGAGATAGCTCTCTCTGCTCCACCACCCAGGAAAAGTGATTTCTTGTGAAAAGTAGTTACACAAAAGCAATCTAATGTAGCCAAATGAAACCCAGCAGGGCTGAGAAAGGAGAGGTGAATCTATGACGTTCCAGATAGAACTCTCCTTCATGCCTTGTCAGTGGGTCCCGGACCAGTACTTTGCACACTGGCTAAGGGAAATAGTGTCTTCCTTGGACTTCTGACTCTATTCTGAGTGAAGAGCTGAGTTAGGGAATTGAGATCATCACCTTGAAGTCCACGAATGAGCACCAAGCAGCCCCTGGACACAGCCCAGTGCAGGAAGACCGAGCCTAGCATCACCAGCCATGCCCAATCTCCTTTTCAAGAGCTGCATGGAGCAAAAAAGTGGTACCGAGGAAGCATGTCAGATGGTAGATGTTAGGAGGGGACGCATCTGAATGGCTTCCAGGAGCTTCTAAGAGCCTAAACATGGAGTTCCTCTTGGGAGCCAGCCTTTCTCTACTGTAACTCAAAGCTCCGGAGGGAGGATGCCCTGCAGCCCATCCCTGGTGTGAACTTGCTTCAGTAGTTTCAGCGGGAGGATGGGGCCTGACAGGCTCTTCCATATTATTGCTCAGCCTGGGAACTCGGCTTGCTGTGACCCTGCATTCGAGTCTTTCAATCGTGTGCTTTCGTTTTGGAAAGTTGGCACCTGTTCTTTCGGCCTGTGGCCTTGGCCAGCTTGTTATAAATTCCTAAGGAACGAATCTCACCGTTCATTCAGGGTGCTTTCCTGCGAGAAAAGAGCCCACACTGAAGCTCCAGGGCGGTGTCCCCCATCTTTGTGTCTCATTCCATTTAAGGAGGCTCTGCAGGCACGTGGTACGTGGGAACTACCCCAAACTTCGTCCTTGATTCATCTCGGCTTTTAGGAGAACAGTGTAAAGTTACAGTGGTAAATCACCAAAGCTTTTAGTTGATCTAATTCTCCAGTGGTTGTGTAGAATAGGGTGGAATTGATGGTGATGGGAGAAATTCTCTATCTTTTAAGTAAGAAAAGGTGGACAGCTTTCTTCTGGGGAATGATTTTTATTTCTTAAATGGGAAATGGGTATTTGAGCTGTGATGATCTAATGACATCTGTTTAATAGTTTTTGCTTCTTTGTTTTCCAGAAACAAACAATCACTGCCATCAAAAAAGAGGTAATTAGTCACCGAGTCCCAAGGAAGTTTGGTTTTAAATCCCCTAACAAATTATGTGTACTCTGACTTTGTGTTCTGCATGCAGTAATGAAATGAAAACAGTGTGTAATGTTCAAACAGTTGTTTCCAAATTAATGGGCAGCACAGAGTGACATCTTTTATGAATGGGGCTGATGCTGAGATTCAGGATACAAAACACCCTCGGAAGGCACAGATCCGGAGGGACGTGACGTGGGAGCAAATGCCTCACCGTGTCTGCACCCCCATGCTTGCACCTGCTTCTACAATTCCGGGGCCATGCAGAATCTGTCCAGAGTGGCACACTTCCAATTTTGACAAATCTTGTGTCCAGGGTCCAAGATAGAGCCCCGGGAAGCATTGGCCACTGAGGTTAGACCTGCTCTGTCCGCCAGAGGCTCATGAGGGAAAAGCTAAGTGTTGTACTCGTGCCTCGATTTAATGGTCCTTAGAACCTTTTCTTAATTAGTGCTTTTTCCCAGACTAACACATGATGAGCAACAGGGGACCCTAATTTGGGGTTTGGTGTCTACTGTGGGCTTTTATGTCCTCTGGGTACTGAGGTGGCTGGCTTGAGGGAATGCCATGCGGTGCTGTCGTTCTGCTGGCCTTATGCAAGTGCCGGTGTTCGTGACACTCAAGGGTGAGGGGGTTGGGCATCTTTTAACAGTCGTGTCTCTTCCAGATCATGTATTACCAGCAGGCCTTACTGAGGTCCACAGTGAAGTCTTCGGTGTCCCTTGGAGGGTAGGTTGCTAATTTGGTGGTCTTGCTGAGGTCTGGGCAATAGGTAGGCAAGAGGAGAGCTCTGCTTTGAGGCGGACCTGACCAGCCATGGTGGACTTAAGATCCTGGAGGATGCTGAGGGACAGAACCCATCTCTAGAGGATGAAGTTCCTCGTTCTTCACTCAACGTAGGTCTCCATGTCTTATCTTGGGGTAGGCAGGGGATAGGTGACGGTCTATACAAGTCTGTCATCTTTCCTGGAATTCACTAATGTGTAGATGGAGAAAGTGGGAGGAGTCGAGTCCAAAGTTCAGGGACTGACCCTGGGGGTTCCACAGAAGCTTGTGTTCCCGTCATTACGCACTCAGATTTATTAGAGCCATGTGTGTTATGTTTACTGGTTCAGTGGATTGTTAAATGTCCATTGTTAATCTTTGAATTAAAATGCAATTAGGATAAATGGCAACTTTACATTTGATTTATTGAATATTCAGGCTACCTCGATCTAGTCCTCCATACGACATTATTTGGCAGACATGGAGGGGTTTAGTACCCCCCAAATGTAAGCAGTTATCCTTTTGAAACGTGGCGTTATTTTTAGGACTACCTTGCTAATTCTGAGATTACTCTGACACATGAAAGTGGTCTTGGTTTATTCCTGGGGAGGCACAACGTGAGGAATCATTTATTCTGACTACGACTTGAGTAGTGGTCCTGATCACAGTGGGATGGAAGGTGCTGGGATTTTTCTAGACCCTTTCTTCTGATATGATTAGGGGGTACTGTTTTGTAAAAGTCTTCAAATATTTCTACATCTTCCCAAATTTCCCTGTATCCAAAAACATCCCCTGCCTGAGCAAATGTGCCATGACCTCACCCACATTTTTCAGCAACTTCTGTCTGCTGCCCCTGAGCCTGGTCCCTGGGGACAGTGTGCCCGTGTACTCAGTGGGTGCTCACTTTGGGTTCTAATGATAATCTTTGTTCTACGGTAAAGTTAAAAGTGTCCACTCTGATATTCTAGAAACCTAGTTCTATGAAACCAAACAGAAGGGACATTGAAGGAGACTCAAAGGCTATTGGATACGTCTTAGACCCACTTTCCAATTTTTATTTGTCTCTGAGCCTCATTACCATTGTTTCAACATTATTAGTGTTCAACTTGTGCACAGTTCCTTTTTTCTCCTCTTCAGTTGTCCCGCTTTTGTAAAGGTCTGATTGAAGAATCAGAGGGTCTTAGGAGAAATGAAACCAAGGGGCTTGAGTTCTGCACAGAACTGTAAACCTAGGGCTCTGGTATCTCTCTCAGGTGCGGGTTCTGTTCTATCAAAATCTCAGGGCCGTGGGCAGACGTTGTGGTAGGTGCCTTGTGAACTAATGTGGAAACAATTCCCCGTCTATGGAGTGGGACCATGGCAGGGTTTTCCAAACTGCACACATACCAGAAGGTGTGTTGACTCAGAAGGTCTAACTCAAATAGAAGGAATCAATTCCTATCCACATTCCTGAGTGTGGGATTCACACCTCAAGGAAAACACAGGTTTTAAGTAATGAGCCTAAATCTCTAAACCTGGATTATCTGGACAAAGGGTGGAGCCCCGTGTGGCAATCTTGTGCTTTTGATGGTGCCAAGCCACCTGTTTGAGTCAGCTTTGAATTTTGAAAATTCATGATAAAAAATACGAAGAGGCCTTATTTTCCTGAAATAGGTGCAGAGAAATTACAAAGGGACAGGACTGGGAGACAGAGTTTTGTTTCACAAGTAGAATAGGGACAGATCTTGTTAAATTCCTGCCAATCCTAAGAGCCATTAGAGCATTTTTTTTCAGAAGAAGGAAACAAGTATGTGACTAAATCAATATGGGAAAAGGAGGACAGGCCGGTCAATTCGCCTGAGGACTCATTCTTCCTCTTGGGTGTTGAACTTTGAGGACACTGTTTTCCATTTACTTCTCAGGATCGTCAAATACAGTGAGCAGTTTTTGTCCAATGATGCCATCATGTCAGGATGCCTGCCTAGCAATCCTTGGATAACAGATGACACCCAGTTCTGGGACTTAAATGCCAAATTGTATGTATTGGTATATTGGTGTTTTATTTTTAAATAGCTTTTCGGGTCCTAATTCACAGGCCATACAATTCACCCATTTCAAGTGTATAATTCAGTTTTTTACTACATTTCTAGAGTTGGGCAACATCATCACATCAATTTTAAAACATTTCATCGCCTGAATGAGAAACCCTGTATCGCTGTTCTCCCTCCCCAAACCCTTCCATCCCTGGGGAACCCCTAACCCTTCCTGTCCCTGTGGCTTTGCCGCCTATCCTGGACATTTCGTATAAATGGGATCATGTAACATGTGGCCTTTTGTAGCTAGCTTTTTTCACTGAGCACAGTGCTTTCAAGGTTCATCCATAGTGTAGCATGAATTAGTACTCAGTCCCTGTTTGTGGCTGAATAATGTTTACTGTATGGATACACCACCTTTTGTTTACTCATTCCTCAGTTGATGGACATGTGGCTTGTCTGCCTTTCAGCTGTTAGGATTAGTGCCCTGTGAGCATTCCTGCACAGGTGTTCATGTGGGCATGTTTTCGTTTCTCCTGGGTGTATGCCTAGGGGTGGAACCACTGCCCCAAGGGATAACTCTTTGTCTAACAATATATTGTCCTTGAGAAGAAAACAATCCCCTTTATGGCTCTGCATTTTTGATGTCTAGTTAGAATAAAAATAAGCTCCTGGAGGCAGGGCCCCAGCCCCGCCTTGGCAAGGATGCCACTCATCCCTTTGCCCTGTTTGTGGATGTTGCACCTGGGTCTGTATTAATCTGTTGTTCGGAAGAGGGGCAGAGGCAGAATGCAGAAGGAGAGGAGAAGCCACCAAAGGAAGGAGGATGCGAGGGGCACGGCTGTCAAGTCAGGGAAAGGTGGAGGAGGAGGAGAGGGCAGGAGCTGGTATGCGTGCATAGGGCAGGTGGGGTGATGGGGAAGAGATCATCGGGTACAGAGCCCAACTGAGGTCTTAGGTCAGTGCCAAGGCCATCACCGCAGAAGGCGTGGAGAACGTGTAGGTAGCACAGATCCAGCCACATAGGAGGCATAGCTGGGACCCCTTTCACCTATTCCGTGGAGCCTGCTGTGGGCGGCTGAAGGGTGGAGGAGGGCACTCATTTGGAGTTTGAGGCCCCCTACCTACTAGTGCCAGCCGCCAAGCCAGAGACTCTAGAACCACCCTCTGGGGGGCTCTAGTTATGAGGATGGTTTTCAGGAACCTATGCCTGTCTCCCAGTGTATGAGAAGTGCCTGGTAAGAGAGGTGACAAAGATGTGCAGAATTCAGCTGTCCAGAGAAGCCAGGGCTGGGCAAAGCATTGTCCTTGGAGGGATTGGGAGGGAAAGGTGGATAGCTGCTGAATTTTAGAGGAAATGGAGAGTGCAGTATTGAAGCTTTGAGGTGGAGCTTTGCTGGTGAAAAGAAAAGGGAGCCCCTGGTCAGGGGACTACTGGGTGGATGCCAAATGTGGGCCCCACTGAAACCAGGAAGCCTTGTTCTTAGCTGTTTAGATTTTTGTATTGAAATTACCTGGGAAGCCTAAGAAAACAACAAAAATGCATATCCAGCCGTTACCCCTCAAGCCTCTCATGTGGTCAGCCTGGGTTACCCCCTTACTGCCACCAGAGGTTTTTAAAAGCTCCCATTGACTTTCATGAGCAGCCAGGGTTCCCAAGACTGGTTTAGAGCACCGGCTCCCAGGGTGGGGGTCGCTGGACCAGCAGCCTCAGCATCACCAGGGAACGTGTTAGAAATGCCGGTTCCTGGGCTCCACCCCCCCCACCCCCCCCAGTGAATCAGAAGCTGAGGGGCTGGCACCCAGCAGCCTTGCATTTAAATGAGTCTTCCAGCAGATTCGGATGCACACTGAAGTTTGCATATCACTGTTTCACTCTGGGTCTGCTTACTGTGTGAGCACTGGCAAGTATTTAACCTCTCTGAGCTTTGGCCTTCTCAGTGATGAAAGGGGATGATGGTATTCAGCTAGCAGTGTTCTCTGGAAGCCCCCATGTTGTACGTGTGAATCACAGTGCCTCCCAGGTGGTGACGCTCCCCTAAATGGTGGCATTAATGTTATTATGGAATTGTACTGTTTTCTCCCTGTTATGGAAAATATAAGCTTTCTTGGCTGGTCTTAGATTCCGTGGACATGAATTGCACCCCGCAAGGGCTCTAGCTGCTGCATCAGTGAGACGTGTGTCCAGGGCTTGGAAACCTGTTTCCTGGGGGATGTGCTGGGTTACGGAGAATTCCATAAGGAATAGGAGGAAGATCAGTTATTTTCCTGGTTTTCTAGAATGTTCAACCTCAGCTAGCTGGCCTGAATGTACTGCCCGGGATCAAGGAGACCTTTGAAAACACAGAAGTGCAGGGGAACTTGCATCCGGGAGCTCTGGGAGGATGCAGAGATGGCAGAGGGGGTCTACCTGGGGTGTGTGGCTTGAAGGCAGCTACAGGGAGAACCACCGACTCCCACCAGACGCTTCGGTGGGGAGGCTGCACCAGGGGGCATGGCAGTGGCCACAGCACCCCTCACCAGGGGAGGTCTGGAAGGCCTTCCTGGCCTGGTGTGGCAGCCTGACCTCAGATGGCCAGTCTCCACAGGCCTTGGAGGGGGCACTTGTGTTCTCATGCCCTGAAGGCTAAGGGACCGGACTGGAGCGTGAGGGCGGCTACTGTAGGCATCCTCCTCGCTTTCGGGGCAGCCAGTTCCTGGTACGAGGCCCAGGGCGCCTGGCCGAGGCTGCACTCTCCTAGCAGGTCATTACTTGGATTGTGCATTTGTGCGGGGATGGAGACTGGGGGAGGGCTGGGCTGAGCCCCGTCTGTGGGGCCCCTCACCCCAACCCAGGACCGCCTGGTGCAGCCCCTGTCTTGTGTGCAATGTCCAAATCCTTGTCTTTGCAGGGTGGAAATCCCAACCAAGATGCGGGTGGAACGATGGGCCTTCAACTTCAGTGAACTGATCCGGGACCCCAAGGGTCGCCAGAGCTTCCAGTATTTTCTCAAGAAAGAGTTCAGTGGTGGGTCTTTGATTTTTTAATATATATGTACTTTTTTTTACTTCTAGAAACACTCTTGTAATGCGTCACACAGGGTTTTGAGGATTCTTACCAGATGTTTTCATGTATGTTCTCATGCACACCCTTCAGCAGGTGTTCCTTGGACCCGTCCTTTCTGTCAGAGGTCCCGTGGTCTGGTGGGTGGGGAATTGTATCTGCGCACAGAATCTACTCTACACAGGACCCTCCCCTCTGGCTGCCCTCACTTCCTCACCCTGGTCCTGGGTCACCAGCCCACGAACTCCTGGGTCCCCTGCCTCCCAGTGCAGCTCCTCCAGGAGCTGATGGAAAAGTAAGCTTTCTCCCTTTGTCTCAGAGCCTGGTTTCCTCCAGCTCAGGCTTCTCTACTCTGGCTGTGCATTCAGTTTGCTGGGGGATATCTGAAAACATGTTTGCCCGGGTCCTATTCCCAGAGGTTCCCTTATAATTGGTTTGGTGTGGAATCGCTGTAGTCTTGAAAACTCCCCAGGTGAGTCTAAATGTGGCCACGACCGCCACCTTGCTCCTGGCCTGCTCCCTGCAGGGGCTCAGGGGTGTGCGGGTTTTAATGCCGTGGGTGGGGCCACATTTGATAACCCATCTCTGGGTGTCCACACCATGACAGGCACTTGCACTGAGAAACATCTGGGAAAATCAAAGGCCAGAATTAGGACCAACTTCTTCAGGCTGAGCACTCAGTTGGCTTCATCACCTTCATTAAAATATGTGCTTCCGTGGAATTTGTTTACTTCCTTCCTGAGTCCCCAGCCCAGGGGAGATCCCATTTGAGCTTTGTTATTTAGCAGCTTGCTACCCAAGGCTCACTTGTCTGTGGGGTTGCTCTTGACACTAATCCCACGGGACCTGCCATTAACATGTCTGATTTGACTGCCTCGTGCAGTAAATTACATTAAAATATGGGTTCTTGAAAACCCTTCTCCCCAGTCAAGCCTAATTGCCATGATATAATAAAACCCAGAATAGACGGATGGGAAAGGGAAGGGGTTTAGAGCCAGCCAGCCAGCAGCCGCTGGGGAATAAGTGGATAGGGTGCCATCTAGTGGCAACGTGGTGAACCCCACCCTGAGCTTATCCCACCCATTGCCTGGTAACAATGGGAATCCTTGGAAAAGACTTAACCTGCGTTATTTAAATAGCACCTTTGGTGACCTCCTCCTGAGATTCCCGAGGCCCCAGGAACGAACTCGGCAGATGAATCATCAATTTGCTCATGAAAATAAAAAAAAAAGTCGAGATACACTTCACATACTGTAAATTCATGTACCATGTAATTCACATGCTATAATCCTTTAAAAGTGTATAATTCAGTGGTTTTTAGTATGCTCACAAAATTGTGAAACCATTACCACTATATAATTCTAGAACATTCTCACCACCTCAAAAAGAAACCCCTTACCCATTAGAAGTCATTCCCTATTCCTCTGCCTTCTGCTTCTCGCTGCCCCCTTCCCCACTGGTCCAAGGCAAACATTAGTTTATTTTTATCTTCATGGATTTGCCTGTTCTGGACATTTCATGTAAATGGAATCATGAAATATGTGGTCTTTGGTCTTTTTCACATAGCTCAGTGTTTCCTAGGTTCATCCACAGTGTAGCAAGTACCAGTCTGCATTCCTTTTCGTGATGAAATAGTATTCCATTGTATGGATATTCACATTTTATTTATCCATTCATCAGCTGGTGGGCATTTGGGTTGTTTAGACTTTTTGGCTGTTATGAATATACTGCTATCAACTTTCATGTACACATTTTTGCATGCTCTTTCAATCTTTTTATGGAGGTAAAATAGTCATATGATAAAATTTACCATTTTAGCCATTTTTAAGTGTGCAGTACCATAGCATTAAGTACATTCACACTGTATGCAACCATCACTGCCATCCATCTCATCTTCCCCAAACAGACTCCTGCCCCATTAAGCACTTACTCCCCATTCCCGCCTCCCCAGCTCCTGACAAACGTCATTGTACATTCTGTCTCTGAATCTGATGATCCTAGGTACCTCGTATCAGTGGAGTGATACAGTTTTTGTCCATTTGTGTGTGACTTCTGTCACTAAGCATGTTTTCAAGGTTCATCCAAATTGTAGCACGAGTCAGAATTTTGTTCCTTTTTAATATGATATTCCTTTATATGTATACACCACATTTGGTGTATCTGTTCATCTGCTGATGGACATTTGGATACTGTGAGTAATCGCTCATTTAAATTTAACCCCAAGCAACTGACTGCCTTTTGCCGTGGGCGAGGTGACAGCAGGGCACCGCTGGCCTGTTGACTTATGCCTGTGATCTCAGTCCCAAGAACACCCTGAAGTTCATGTGAAGAGGAAAGACTTCAGTAGAGTTATGGACAGACTAGCTTAGGATTGGACAGCCTTTTCCTGAGATACCTGGAAGCTTTTTGAAAAATGCTGTGAAAAGAGAGGAGGGCAAGCTCTTGTCCAGTTCCCCACACTGGGGCATGCTGCAATTCACACACACACACACACACGCACACACATATAGTGTACACACATGCATTCACACAGGTGTATGCACACAATGCACATGTGCATATATATGTACACACACGTGTACACAAAGGCTGGAATATGCCCTGTTGGGGGGCTATAAAAGACGGGGTCTCTGCAAACAAAGGAGGCAGAAGTCATGGGCAGTCATTGAACGTGAGCAAAGTAAACAGGGGCCTTCACAAAGAAAGCCTGTTGGGTAGCACACATGTTCACAAGCCTAATCACATGTGAACTTGTTCAAGTAATATTCGATACAGCCAGATTCTAGGACAAAAAAGAACGTGACAGCCTTGGGGGGTGGGGGGGGTATCATGAGCAGTGTTCACAGTAGGCACGTGTGGCTGCAGGCGTGGTGGCGCCAGAGTTCATTTCAAAGAGTGTGCTGGAGCCAACACTAGGGTACAGCCCTCCCCTGCGGCTCCTTCTCTCAGAGAGTGTTTTGTTCGACTTAAGGAGGTGCCGGAGCTCGTTTTGCAGAAGAGAAGATGGATCTATCCAGCTAATCTGTTTCTTTTCTTTCCCCTTTTCTTCTCCTGTCTTGCTTCCTGCCTGGCTCCCGTCTGCATGGACCCCCTCCTCCCCGTGCAGGGGAGAATCTGGGATTCTGGGAAGCCTGTGAGGATCTGAAGTATGGAGATCAGTCCAAGGTCAAGGAGAAAGCAGAGGAGATTTACAAGTGAGGATTAGCGAGACTGTTGGGGAGTGTCCCCCTGGGCCCCCCGCTGGCCATCCCATTGCGTTTGAGGTTTGAGGTCGGAGATAGATCAGGGGTTACCACATCTCTCCTGTCGGCCTCAGTCATGCACCTGCCCTGCTACAAATACCTCACTGCTGTTTGGAAGGCCTGGCGGCTCCTTGGAAGGAAAGCAAGCAAGATGGATGCCGTGATTCTGGCTCCTAGGGCAATGTGCTCAGGAGTTAAAAGAGCAAGCTGCCCTGGGTTACAGTCAGAGTGCTTTGTCTTTGACAAAAACGCTTTAGGTCTCCTGAGAGGTATGTGTCTGCATGTGTGTGTTTGAGAGAGAGAAGAGAGCAAATAGGTGCGATGGGAAAACCTGGTTCCCAGGCCATCTTAGAGAAGTGAGGGCCAGGGAGGGCCCTGGAGCGTCTGGGACAACAAACCCAGCTTGGGGTGCAAATGTGGGAGCAGCTCTTATTCTGCATCTAATGGCTCTTGCCCCACCCCACCCCTTGCTCGGTGTAGCAATAAGCCTGTCCCTCTCCAGGCCTGCCCTGCCTCCAGATTACCCTTCATGTTACGGAAGATCCCAGGGTTCCAGTTAAAGAGGACTAGTTCTGCCTCTGATGGCAGGGTGGACGGGAGACAGGCAGTGTGTTGGGAGCACTAGCAGTACTAGGGGGCGGAGCTGTCTGAATCTCTGCCCCTGCCCCCAGCTCGGGGCTCCCCGTCCTGCCATGGAGCCATCCCTCCTGTCCCTCTCTGCCCTGGCCGTCGTGGACACTGTCTTAGGCTCTGAGGCCCAGTGCATTTAGCTTATCTGGGTTCTTGGAGCCCAACCACCATGCTGCAACCAGCCCTCCGTGGCCGCTGGACTGTGGTGCTGAGCTTTGGGCAGCGGGCTGGGTGGGCATTTATCCTCTCGGACCTCCGGTGTCCTTCCCTCAGATGCACTTGATGGACCATCCCTATTTTCAGAGGCACTAACGTCTAAGGGGAGAAACTGAGGTCCCCCTCCTCCCACTTAGGGGCTCCTGTACTTCCTCAGAATCTCCCCTGCCCCCCCGCACAGGGAGAGACTCTGCTCACCAATAAAAGTGGGGGTGAGGGGGGTTGTCCGTCCAGGAAGGTCCCAGGACATCCTTTCTCAGAACAGTGGTGCCCAACCACCTCATGCACAATGACGTGCACAGAACTCCTAAGTCCAAAAATCTGTAAGGAAACTTGCCGCCTTTATACCAACTTCCTTCCTTCCCCAGTTCCCCAGCTGTGTAATCTCCATCTGAATTCCAAAATTTTAATGTGCATCTCAGGAGTGTGGCCAAATACCCATGTGAGTATTTTTAACCTGGCAGTGACTCAGAGTGGGGCACGTTGGAGAGCCCCGGCCCCCGAACTCCCCAGGGCTGCAAGACGCAGGAAGTGTGGCCGAGTCTGGGTACTCACTGGGGCCACCGGCAAGGATGCCCCCGGTCATTCCTTATGGAGCATTTGAGATTCATTTCCAAATACATCCAGGCTGGGCCAAGGGAGAGCAGAGGCCTGCAACACCTATTTGGAAGGTGTCTTAGCCGACTTCCCGGTGGGCCCCAGATCCTGGTAAACGGAGGCTGGAGGCATTAAGTGGGAAGCTGGATTCTTCACCCAGGTGGCTGGGTTACCCTACCAACTCCTTGGGTCTCTCTCCTAGAGGTTGGGAACAACAAAGTTAAAGATTCACACCCCCAATCCTGGCGTGGCTGTTCTCTTGCTTCTAGGAAATGTTGCTTGACAACCTGTTCAGACTCTAGTGTCTCCTTAAAAAGGAGTCGCTGTCATCGCGGGTCACCTCCCTCCCAAGCAGCTGTGAGCTTTTCATCAACGGAATTACTTTAGCTGCTTCTGCTAATGTTTTCCTCCCGGCTCTAGGCTATTCCTGGCCCCAGGGGCGAGGCGATGGATAAACATAGATGGCAAAACCATGGACGTCACCGTTAGGGGTCTGAGGCGTCCCCACCGCTACGTGCTGGATGCCGCACAAACCCACATCTACATGCTCATGAAGAAGGTAGGTGGGGGGGTGCACTGAGGATTCCCGGGCCCAGGGAGCCTTTCCCTTCCCAGGTACCTGGAATGTTCTTTAGGTATGGGGAAGATGGAGGTGATGTGTGGCTGCTGCATTGCTGGTGTTGGGGTGCAGAATTGTTAGCTGTCCCTACCACCTGTCCGCTGGGCTGGAACCTCTGTGGGCCCTAGGCTCGCTGGCTGGGGAGGACCACCTGTGGGTGCCGTGGGCATTCCTAAGGCCCTCACGGCAGTAGCGGGACAACAGTAATGACACTGGCGATGCTAATATTGCTCCAGCTATGGTTATATACTGAGGACTTCTGAGGTCTCACTGTGCAAAGCAAGGACCTTTGTGTCATAGGCCACTTGCTCTTCAGAGTCCAGTGGTTTACCCGGGGTCTACGTCAGGGGGTAGAGATTCAAACTGGGTCTGCCTGAGTCCCAAGGCCGGGCTCTTCGTCTCTACCATTGAATGGTGACGTTTCTGGTGGCCAGGGCCCTGAACAGCATAACATGTGGGAGGTTAAGTGTCTGAAAGAGACATATGAGGTGTGATTATGGTAAAACCCTGTGAGAATTCAGATCACGTTCTGGATTATTAATAAAAAGTGAACATGATGGGAAGCTTCAGGAAATTGTTTAAAAAAATGAAGAGAGAAAGATCAGTCATTTTCCTAAGAAATGAGAACTTGGGGCTCATAGTTCATCTAAGAGACGTTGTCTTATTTGGTCCCCATGTGGAGCCATAGCCAGGAAGACTTTTTCAGCAGCTGTAACTTCCTGTCAGGGCAACTATTCCTTTTATGGCGGAGTAACTCCAGAAACTTCATCACATGGTGTAGGGTGGTGTGATCTGGAAACTTCATTATAGGATGTAGGATGGTGTGAATGGCAGGTTTTTACTAGGTTCCCTTATTTGTATTGATCTCTTATGTGTATTGGATTATGAAGAAATATTTTTACTTGGCTTTTAAAATATGTAATAATTTAGAATTTTCACCATGCCACATTAGCATGGTGAAATTTTTCCCCATTTCTTTTTCATCAGTGGGGCTTCTCTGTGTTTACCTCACAAAGTGATGCGCAGCGGGGTGCTTTAATAATGGTTTTCCTTAATGTATTTTAAAATACGTTTTGATTCTTAAAAGTGTGTTTTTCATACGACCTATTACACCCAGGGAAGCTGGCTAGATGCGGAGCAGACAGAGTCATGGGTGACTTACACAGGCTTCTTGGACCGCACTTCTTACCGGCTGTGTCCTGTGACTGGGAACGCAGCGCGGCCCAGTGCCTCCATGGCCCCTACTCCCAGACTCTATCCTAGTTCTCAGAACTTTCACTGCTAGCCCTTAATCTTTAGAATGGTACCGTCTCAATAAGTAAATAAAAAAAAGCCCAGTCCCTGGGTTGTTGCTGTGGGCTTCCTCCCGTATTTGTCAGGACCGGAGGTGGTTTGCAAGGATCAAGCAGTCCTGAGGCAACCTCTCTGCACCTGCCCAGGGTCCCAGGGAATATCCACACAAGAGAAATCTGAGTCTTGGACCCTTTTGGATATTCTCTTGCCTTTGTACCCAAGTGCAGGCCAGACAGGGATGTTGGCGGGCTTTGAGGTGGGCCCCCTGCTCCCAGCTGCTTCTCTTCCCTGGAAGAAGGTGTTGGGTGCACGTGTCCCCTGTCACATGCCCAAGGTGGGCCTCAGTGTGGGGGCTGTACACTGCGGCTCTGATTCTCAACCTGAGAACCGCCTGGAGACCTAAGACTCAAATCGCCGCATCCCCAGAGTTTCTGATTCCACAGGAGTGAATATGCCTGAGAATATGCATTTCTAGCAAGTTGCCAGGTGGAATTGATGCTGCTGGCCTGGGGACCACACCTGAGAACCACTGCTTTAGACACACATCTGAATGCCTTTTACACCAGAATACAGAGTCTCTTTACTTTGCCATCTCGCTGCCCTGCCCGGGGATGGCTTGGAAACAACAGGCGTGAGAGTTTGCTTCGATGCTTCCCCGCTCATAATGACTGTTTTTCCTTTGATCCCCCTAGGATTCTTACGCACGCTACTTAAAATCTCCAATCTATAAGGAAATGCTTGCCAAAGCTATTGAACCTCAGGAAACCACCAAGAGGAGGCAAGTGGAATGGTCTGTAAGGGCTGGTTGCCCGCTGTTTTGTTTACAGGGAAGTGAGGGTCGCTTTCAGCCAAATGATGGTGCTTGAGATATTTGCTTGATGAAAATATTGGGGACTGGGAAGCATTTCTTAGGGTATAATTGCCTCATTGGCTTCAGAATGCCCTGAGATCACCCTAGCACGATTTCCTTAGTAATTACTGCCAGTCAGCTTTGTTCCCTTATGCTGGTTTGAGAGAGTTTTGATTATCAGACTGATAATTACCCAATCTCAAATGGAAGTGTGACACTGGTTTTTTAATTGCCGTCCTTCCCCACATCCAAACTGCTGTGAGGGAATTAATTTAGCTACATCTTTGTATCCACGTAACATCCTAAGACCTTAGAGAGTTCGGGAGATTGCACCCCAAGAGGAATGGCAGAGTGTGAGGGGGCAGGAACAGGGGCATTTTGAGTGTCCCTCCTGAGTCCAGGCGACTGCCTTTCAGCAAGTCCTTCCCACCTCCCCACTGGGGATGTGGTCACCTCAGCTGGCAGAGCCCTTGGGCAAAGTGTTCTGAGGGACAGTTTGAACTGTTTTTCGGAGGGAAAAGAAAACTATAGAGATTGAGGACTCAAAAGTGTAGCCAAACGACAACCTGCACAAAGATGTGGGCCTTCGGTGGAGGCTTTCCCGGCGCCAGCGTGCGTCCTGACCCCCACGGTCAGCGAACATTCACTGCTCTGCAGGCTCAGCCCACACTGGGCTCTTCTCCAGCGTCTCAGTGAATTCAAAAGAGGTGTGGTTGGACCAGAGCCTTTATCAAAGGAGCTTAAAAAATCCCCAACCTGGTTTCATTCTCGAGCATAATGACCCTGCTCTGAAACGGAGAGAAAGGAGGTCTCTGTGGAGCTCTTCCTGGCCTCCTGGGTAAGGAAGGGAGTTCAGTGTCCCTGGGGACTTGAAAGCTCCTTTCAGCCACAGAAAGGGCTGCAGTAGCTCCTGAAGTTCTGCTAGAAAGCGGTGGGGGAGGAAGGGCAGTCTCGCACTTCCCTCTCCAGATATAGTTTATACGTTGGACAGACCTGAGAGATGAGCTGGGGTTTTTGCTGGGGTGCCCAGGGGCTTTGAGGGTGGGGTGGCACTGGTCCCCAGGGGCAGCGCTTGGCTCCCATGTGGGCTATTGCCGTCTGGTCATTTGCCGCCGCTGCCGCGGGTAGACAGTACACGTGTGAATGCGTTTGTAATGTGTGAAGCTCGGTCTGTAAATATGTGGGGACTGCCCGTGACTGGCAGGTGTGAGACCATACATAAAACTTAATTTTTCCAGAACAAGTGAAATCCAGCTCCAAGCCTCCGCCTTGGCAGGGCTGGAGGGAGACGCAGTTTTAGGCGTGACTTCCTGGTAGGGGAACCCTCTTCCTCCGGAGGGTAGATACCAGAGTTCTAGGGGCTTATGTTGTCCAGAAACTTGGGGAGGTCCTAGGTTTTACATTGACTGCTGTGGTTGAAATGCTGTTTTCCAAGCCCGTGGGTGGCTCGGCTGCTCACCATCACCAGCGTCACTCGGCCACCGGGAGCTGCATTCTGTCCCCCAAGGCCGTGGTAGAGAGAGTGGTCCCAGGAGCCCACAGTTATCTTCTGCCGAAGTTTCTGGCTTCTCTGGTGTCTGCGCAGTGCCACCGGCTCACCAGCCCTCCTCAGGCCTTGCCCCGTTTCTCTGCCCTAGGAGCCTAGCCCTCTTGGACAGCCCGGCCCTTCCCTCTTTCCCAGAACCTTGGCTTTGGGAGAAAAAAATGCTCCTACTCTCCCCTAAGGCAAGAACCCTTGAGCTTTCAGTATCCAAATGCTCCTTGACCCCATATTTCAGGAAAAGCCTACAGGAAGTGAAGGTGACACCTTGATTTCTAACACTTTGGAAGGTCTGTAATTGTCATCATCCAAGCAGCCTGCCTTGCGCAGAGCCTGCAGTCTGATGATAGTCGGTACTCACTCTGGTCCCGTCCCCAAAGCGATCAAGGGAGAAAAGAGCTAAGGTTGGACATGCCTCTGAGCGCCCCACTGCAGGTTCACAGGGAGAATGAGGGAACACGTCAGATTCTGGCCTGCCCCAGGTGTGACAGCGTCACTGCTGGGAGGCACTGTGGCTTTCCACCAACCGCCCATCCCATCCTTCGTTCCAGCTCCAGCCTCCTGTTCATGCGGCGTCACCTGCGCGCCAGCCCGAGCCCCGTCGTGCTGAGGCAGCTGGAGGAAGAGGCCAAGGCTCGAGAAGCAGCCAGCACCGTGGACATCACCCAGGTCATGAGCAAGCTGGACCGTAGGAGCCAACTCAAAAGGGAGCTGCTTCCTAAATAAACCTACAGTTCTCGGGGTGGGGACGTGCCCTTGGGGGAGACATGCAAAGAAAGGCAGGGTCAGAGTCTATAGGAGTGCATCCCCCATTAGCGGGGCAGTGGGGACCAGCCCACATTGCTCTGACCTCCTTTGACCTCGGCAACTAGAGCTAGTCCCCTAACTCCTGCTCCCCGAGGGACAAGGGGGCTGTGGTGGGGGAGGCCACCTGGCTCCATTGCTGTGCACTGGCTCTCTTACCTGAGGGCTTCTTGTTGTGAGAACCACAGAGGAAACGGCGTGCTTTGTGTACCACCAGTTACTTTGGAAATTTAAGAGAAGGGCTCTCGCCATCCTCAAGGCATAGTTTTTTAGGCACATTTGTTTCACACAGCTTAACAAAGCTCCTCATCCCCTGTCTCCATTCAGACTCTGCTTCTGAAGTAGTCTGAGGTCCCTCCATGGGACTGGCTGCAGGCTTTCCTGCCGAGGCGTTTCCCTGTGACACCTGCCTGAAGAGGCCCAGCTAAGACACTTCTGTTGAGCTTGTTCTTAGCCGCAGTTGTTGAGGTTTGGGCTGTCTCGTTCTCTCTCTCTCCCCATCCCCTGCACATGCAAAGGAAGTGAGGGGCTGGTGGGAATGAAGGGCTCAGGCCTGCAGCCTCCAGAGCAGTCAAGGTGAAATGGCCTTCAGAGGAGCACTGTTTTGGGAGGAGGGATGGTAGATATCTGTTTCAGTGACAAGATGAGTCAAGGTCAAAGACTCTGGGATATTTTCTAGATGTTGATGCTTTCTTCCTCTGTAGCTGTAGACTAGGGCAGCCCTGTGGCCGGAGGTGGAGGGGGTGGACAGCTCCCACTCTGACCTTGGGAGGCCCACAAGGTAATTCTTGAAGTGAGCCTTACCTCTTACACCTGTGTAAGAATGCAAAGGAGATAGGCTAAGTTGGGGCACAAGGACTGACCTGGCACTCCAAGAAGCCTCACTCATTCAATACATTTCCTGAGCACCTACTGTGTGCCAGGCATTGGGGAATAAAAGAGGCATGGGGCATGTCTCATGGAGCTTATAACAGAGGACTGGCAAAAAATAACCAGGCCCACTATATCAGGTAGCTGTTGTTGTATCAAACAACCACAAACTAGAGTGGCATATGACCAGAAGCATTTATTGCTCACGCATGTAGGGTCATCTGTAGGCCTGCTGATCTTAGTGGGACTCATGCCCATGACTTGGGGCTGATCTCTGGTGGTCCAGGCCGGGATGAGTCGTCTGTGCTTCCCATGTCGCTCATCCTCCAACAGCCTGGTCTAGGCATGATCCCATCTACGGTGATGGCAGAATTGCAAGGGAGTGGGTGGAAATGCAAAAGGTTCTTGAGATGTAGGCTTGGAATTGGCACGTAGTCTCTCCTATTTCACTTTGTTGGCCAAAGCAAGTCACAAAGCCAGCCTAGAGTCAGAGGTGGGGAAATAGACTCTCTTTAGTGAGAAAAATTTCAAAGTTTTATGGCAGAAGACATGGAGACAGTGAGGGGTGAAGAACTGGGGCTGTGATTGCAATCTGTAACACAAACAAATACATGATACAGCGTGTAGAACATGTTATAAAGGAAATGGATATGGTGCTGTGATAGGGAAGATGGGGGGTGTGAGGCCTCCCTGAGGTGGTGACAGATAAGCAGAGGATGAGAAGGAGCTGGCCATGCAAAGAGTGTGGGTTAGGCATGGAGAACTTTCCGGGTAAAGGGGCCTGCCTGGGCAGAATTGGTGGGAAATGGCTCAGAGTGAACGGCAAGGCCATGTGATGAGGCCAGACAGGTGGGCAGGGCCAGGTCATGAGCACTTTTTAGGCCATTGTAAAGAGTCTGTGGCTCTTGGTTTCAGGTTAGCAAAATGATGCCATTCCTCTCTCCGTTTCCCCTAGTCATAGGCTAGTTTATAGTCTAAAAGGGCAGCTGGAGGTATGCTTTGGGCATCTCTCTCTCTTGAAGAGTGTTGAAGTTGTCCAACGCAGGGAGGGCACTCCAAGAAGAAATCTCAGGTAATGATGATTGTAACCTGAGTGATACCAGGGGAGAGACCCTATCTGTCTTCCTCACTTCTTGGAGCCTAATGCCTGAGACATGGTGGGTTCTGTATAAGCATGTGTCACTTGAATGGATGAATGCAAAGAGCCCTGGATTCGGAGAAGGCCTCTTGGGCTCTGTTCTAGTCCTAGTTATACCACTAGCCTTGTGATCTTGAGCAAGTCACTCAACCTTTCTGCTTTCCTGACTTGTGAAATGAGGGTCCATGCTTCTTCAAACAGATTTTGTGAGTTACAGGAGGGTACCCAGCCCAGGGCATCAATTTTACTTGAAGATTTGGAACGGGAGGAAAGTTAGGTAATTTTTAAAATTTCACATTAAAATAATCATGAATATATTATGAATTAGAATGCAAAATGTACATGAATTTTTTAAGATAAAATTTGAGACTTCAAAGACATTTCATGCCTGGCTGTGGCAGGTTCAGGCTTTGCCCTCAGTCTCCTGCGAGAGCATGGCTACTCGGCTCTCCTGCTGTTTGTCCTACTTTTGCAGAAAAGTTTGAGAAGCATGAAACCAAAGATATTTGCTGCCTCTTCTAGTTACCCCATATGAGCTGAAATCACACAAATGGCAGTGAGGATGGTGCCAGGTGTCAAATACATTATGAATTCCTCAGGTTACATACTATGTTGTGTTCAAATCTGACGCCATCCCACTCACCATATGTGAGCCATGTCTGCTTGACATGTCTCTTGTCCTCCACAGACTTCCAGCTGCTCTGTGTCAGACACATAGTAGGCACGTCCCCCTGTAGTGATGGAACCCTTCCCAATGTCGGACACACAAGGATCCCACAATCTAATGAGAGACACAGGCATGTAAACCAAGTAGGTTACCATTCTTTATTGGATGAATGAGTAAATAAGTGTTTCAACATTGCCCCTTTGAAGGAAGGAAGATGATAAATGGCTTCACTCCTGGCTAGTGGCAGTTACATGCTACAAATATATTTCAAACATTGGTTTGTAGAAGAACCGGTGGTGGGTGCTATAGCACACACAGAAGTGGACAAGATGTTCTCTGCCCTCTGGGGGCTAAGAGGGGCACATGGTTGCAAATGGCTGTAAGATGAGACAGAATGTGATCCAGAGTGAGTGGGCGCAGCACACTAGAAGGGCACGGAGATGGGACAGAATTGTTTGGCATTGAGGATTAAGGGGCATCCGCCAGGAAATTTTCACGGTTGGCAGTAAAGGAACCATGAGTCCCTACCCTGTTTTGAGGTCTTGTAAGTTGTCTGCTACTAGACTCTAGCAGGTGGCGGCTACTCTGGCTAGCTTTGTTTCTAGGGATTGAGCATAACAGGAGCCCTGCAGGGTCAGTTTGAATCTCAAATAGCATTAAAAATGGTATTTCTTGGGATTATATTATCAGTACATTTGAATCATGATATTCTCTATTATGTACTTAGTTTAGGCATCATAATTCTTTAATGTCGTATTTTAACCAGCTTGAGTTTCTCTATCCATGGTGGTACATGACTTATAGTAGAATATAAGTTATGCTATAAGGTGCCGGGATTTGCTTTGTCAAATTTCACTTTCAAGCTTAGCTTTTAGAGAAGAGGCTGCTTTTGTTGTGAGAGTTAAGTGGAAATACAAGGGCTAGGGGCAAGCAATACAAGTAGAGCATTTAGGACAATGCCTGGCATATAATAAGTCAATGAATACTAGCTGCTGTCATCATCATCACCGCCACCACCGTCATCATCACCGTGACCATCAGCACCGTCATTATCTTCATCCCCAGCAGGTCTTAGAGTGAGCATGTGCTTTCTTGCATCTGTCAGTGCCGTCCAATTCATCATCATTTTTTATTATTAGGGCATTTCCTGAGATGCATTTAAAGCATCGTCAACCCAAACCGTATTACTTCTCTGCTCTCTTAGAGTCTTGCAGTGTACCCCTCCCAGCTCTCCAGGGACCCTTAGGATGTGTTGGAGAGGAACAGAGTGGGACATGGATGTCATGTCCTCCGTCTGCAGCTCCTATGACAGGACTGACCAGCAGTAGTGTCATGACTGATCAGTCCTCTGGTCCTGAGTTTCATGGTCTAAAGTAAGGGTCATTTCAAAATGGGAAGGTCACGTGCTGGGCTGTGCCAGTGAGAAGACTGGTAGGAGAAGAGACGTGTCTGTCCATGTGGATTTCTCACTTGTTTTGGGGGACAGTGGGAAAGGGAGGGTGAGAAGGGACTGGAAGGGTGCTGCATACACTGCATGCTGACTCTGAATGCGGCCCTCCACCCACCTGCCCACTCCCAGGAGGTGGGCGTTCAGGTGGCTGCAGGCCTCCTGATTCTCAGCCAGTTTCTGGGCAGAAAGTGAGTTGCATCTCTTTGCCCACCTGCTTGGCCTTCCATAAGAGGCCCGTGGCTGTGCCTGCATGTTGGTGTACCTGCCCCATCTCATGCTCCTTTGTGCCCTGCTCTTCGCTCCCCTGCCTAATAAACAGCAGCACAAAACCAAACCAAACCAAGCTGTCCTCCGCCGTGTCTCCATTGTGTACCGTTTCTTTGCCGTGTGCCCTGCATGCCACTGCTTTGCTGCTCATACCAATGGTTAGTGTGGCTGGGCCTCCAGGCGCAAGCCTGAGGCCTCTGTGGGAGAGGTCAAGGTCATGGAAAAGGCACCCTGTTAGAGTGTCTAGGGTCAATTGGGCCATTAGCTCTTTGCCCAGAAGAGGAAAGGACCTTCCCCGGCCAGGTAAGTGAGACAAGACAGAGCTGCCTTCCTTATCTGTCCTGTCACTCATCTTGGAAAAGAGAAGGTACAGGGGGAGGAGTGGGGTGGGGAGGAGGGCGCAGAATCGGGTTGGGGGTAGATGGGGCGGCTCACCCTGTCATGACTTGTATGATCTTGGTTAAGTTGCATCATCTCTATGAGTCTCTGCTTTCTTATCTGTAAGGTGGGGATTCTAACAGGAACTGATCGCAAATTCTGAGTAGGTGGGATTCAAGTTGATGAGCCTGGGCTGGGGATGTCCTCAGTCCGTTTGCTGAGGAGAACATTGATGCCTCTCTGTCTCTTAACAAAGCTTATTACCTCATTCTGGTGTTTTGGCCCATTCTCCAGGACCCAAGTCCTGTGCAAACCCACAGGCCATGGGAGGGCTTCATGGATCAGTAGAAAAAGCAGAGCCTTTTGGGTTCCACAGACCTGGGATCAGAGTTTTATTTAGTTACTGTTTTAGTTACCTATTGCTTTGTACTCAGCACGAACAACAGCCATTTACTGGCTCAGGGTTGGCCAGGTGAGACTTGGCTGGGCCCTCTGCTCAGGGTTTCACCCTGGAGGTGTTACTAGACAGTCATGTTCTTACCTGGAGGATCTTGGGAAGAATCTGCTTCTAAGCTCAGTCAAGTTGCAGTGATTTTCAGTTTCTCCTTGTAGGACTGAGGGCTCCATTATTAGCTGAGGGCTGCGCTCTGTTCCTAGGAGCTGCGCAGATTCCTTGCACATGCTCCCCATCCATCTTCAAAGCCGACAATGGAGAATTTCTCCCTTGCTGAATTCCTATCATGCTTCAAACCTCTCTGACTTCCGTCTCTGGCCACATACACTGCATGCTGACTCTGAATGCGGCCCTCCACCCACCTGCCCACTCCCAGGAGGTGGGCGTTCAGGTGGCTGCAGGCCTCCTGATTCTCAGCCAGTTTCTGGGCAGAAAGTGAGTTGCATCTCTTTGCCCACCTGCTTGGCCTTCCATAAGAGGCCCGTGGCTGTGCCTGCATGTCGGTGTACCTGCCCCATCTCATGCTCCTTTGTGCCCTGCTCTTCGCTCCCCTGCCTAATAAACAGCAGCACAAAACCAAACCAAACCAAGCTGTCCTCCGCCGTGTCTCCATTGTGTACCGTTTCTTTGCCGTGTGCCCTGCATGCCACTGCTTTGCTGCTCATACCAATGGTTAGTGTGGCTGGGCCTCCAGGCGCAAGCCTGAGGCCTCTGTGGGAGAGGTCAAGGTCATGGAAAAGGCACCCTGTTAGAGTGTCCAGGGTCAATTGGGCCATTAGCTCTTTGCCCAGAAGAGGAAAGGACCTTCCCCGGCCAGGTAAGTGAGACAAGACAGAGCTGCCTTCCTTATCTGTCCTGTCACTCATCTTGGAAAAGAGAAGGTACAGGGGGAGGAGTGGGGTGGGGAGGAGGGCGCAGAATCGGGTTGGGGGTAGATGGGGCGGCTCACCCTGTCATGACTTGTATGATCTTGGTTAAGTTGCATCATCTCTATGAGTCTCTGCTTTCTTATCTGTAAGGTGGGGATTCTAACAGGAACTGATCGCAAATTCTGAGTAGGTGGGATTCAAGTTGATGAGCCTGGGCTGGGGATGTCCTCAGTCCGTTTGCTGAGGAGAACATTGATGCCTCTCTGTCTCTTAACAAAGCTTATTACCTCATTCTGGTGTTTTGGCCCATTCTCCAGGACCCAAGTCCTGTGCAAACCCACAGGCCATGGGAGGGCTTCATGGATCAGTAGAAAAAGCAGAGCCTTTTGGGTTCCACAGACCTGGGATCAGAGTTTTATTTAGTTACTGTTTTAGTTACCTATTGCTTTGTACTCAGCACGAACAACAGCCATTTACTGGCTCAGGGTTGGCCAGGTGAGACTTGGCTGGGCCCTCTGCTCAGGGTTTCACCCTGGAGGTGTTACTAGACAGTCATGTTCTTACCTGGAGGATCTTGGGAAGAATCTGCTTCTAAGCTCAGTCAAGTTGCAGTGATTTTCAGTTTCTCCTTGTAGTACTGAGGGCTCCATTATTAGCTGAGGGCTGCGCTCTGTTCCTAGGAGCTGCGCAGATTCCTTGCACATGCTCCCCATCCATCTTCAAAGCCGACAATGGAGAATTTCTCCCTTGCTGAATTCCTATCATGCTTCAAACCTCTCTGACTTCCGTCTCTGGCCTCTGGATTCAGATTTAAAGGGTCCTGTGATGAGGCCAGGCTCCGCTGGGTAATCTTATTTTAAAGTCACATAGTCTGACCATGGGAGTGACTGACATCATACAACATTTACAGTTCACACCTACGCTGAAAGACAGGGTCAGGTACTTTGGGGGTCACCTTAGAATTCCTCATACCACACAGTCACTGGTTGTGAGTGTTGTGGGGGGGTAATGAACCCCTCCAAACCTCAATTTTCTGTTCTGTAAAGTGGGTAAGTTATAGATACAGAGTACCGAGCACATGGTAGATGCCTGATCAGTTTGAGAACCTTCCCTTTCACCTAACAGTTGTCTCCCAAACCCTTAGTCAGGGCCCAGCCTTCCCTATTGTTATCCTTCTCTGCAAACTGTGTCCTAGGGGGAGCACATGTCCCCACAGAGGGAGGTGTTAGCGACATGGTGCAGAGCTCCTCAGACTTACCGGGCCGAAGAACAAAACAGTGGCCTCAGGTGTCTGTTGGGAGATCCATTCCCTGAGTTGCATCCCCCTGAGATTCTCTTCCAGTGGGTCTGGGGGGTGGGGTGGATCTGCATTTATAATGCACATTGGCCACACTGAAGCATGCAGCCAGCTGTTATAAGTGCAACCTGTGGACTTAGCTCACCTGGTTTCCAGGCCCACCCCACCACTTCCAGTGGCGTGTCCCTGGGACTTGGCTTCTCAAACATTCGTTTCCTCATCCGTAAAATGGGCATAATAATAGTCAGCTGCCCACTGAGTAGCTCTGGGAAGTAAATGCAGAAATCCACACAGCATGCTCAGCCCAGAACCTTGCATTTACCAGGTTCTCACTGCTTAATAACAATAATAATAATTATGATTAGTATAATAACCCAAAGGCCCAGGCCTGGATCTGGGCTCTGGTTTGTCACTGTGGGTGTCTGAGCAGTGGGACAGAAGTCAGGGGCTCCGAGCTGCTGTTCAGAACAGAATCTTGCTTGAACTCCCATGAGCTGTGGGGAGAGAATGCCCTGGCCCCATGGGAAGGCCCTCTGTGGCCCCCTGGCTTTCTCTAAAACCTGTTCTCAGATGCGCCTGACTTTCCCTCTTCAGGACGGGGCTGGCATGCTCAGGTGACCTGGAACCAAGCCACACTCCCAGAAGCATGCAGCTCCCAGCTCAGCGCCTGGAGCCGGCCTCCTCCCGCCCCGGGGCAGGACCAGGCGGATGTCCGTGTGGGGGTGGCAGTTTCAAAGAGGGTTTGTTCTCAGCGGAAGTCATTTCTAATTCTCTTTTGGCGGTAGTGTTGGTCCAACTGTCCCAGAGGGACCCCCTCCCTGCCGGGACCCACATATCCTTCACACTGGGCTTTGATGTGGCGTGAGGTCGTAGCAGTCTTCAGGAGGGGACAAGCCAGGCTGAGGGGCCCATGAACAAAGGGAAGGGAAGAGGTAAAAGCAGAGAAAATTGTCATTTTCTTTTGTCCCTCAGGCAAAGCTCTTCTGGGCCCTTCCAGCTGGAAACATGCCTGCCCCAGTGATCCTGCCCCAGTGCCCTACTCTGGGGCCACGGCGGCCCAGGGAGGGTAAAATACTCCCCCTTCTCCAGTGAAGAGCCTCCGAGCCCTGCATTTCCTGTTTCTTTCTCCAGGGCTCCACCAGGTTCCCACCAGCCTTTATTCCCACGCTGGCTCCGCCGCAGGAGGCCCAGGCACGTGCTGCCTCCACGGCTCTGCTCAGAGTGTTTTAACGCCTCCTGCTGGGAATTGCGGGTAGACAAGGGATGAGATGGCGTGTGGCGGGTACTGAGCAGGGCCAGGTTGAGGGATGGTTGAAAATTCAGCCTGACCATGCCCGGCATCCCAGGCCTGGAAGGAGGTCAGTCTGTGTCCCGGGATGCGGCTGCCCAGCTCTGGCGACCGTGGCCAGGGCTGGAGGCAGGCAGACGCCTTGACAGGAAGCCTGTGTGACTGTGTTGCTGCCACAGCAGGCAGCAGTCCCAGGCCTGTTCTCTGGGGCTGGAGGTGCCGAGTCAGTGGAGGGCAGCCTGCTGCCCCGTCTGCCAGCCAGCCAGGCGGCTCACTCAGCTCTCTTTCCTTCTCTGCAGCCGGGCCAGCACCTCGCCCCCAGCCCCCACCTGGCCGTGTACACTGGGACCTGCGTGCCCCCCTCTCCTTCCAGCCCCTTCTCACCCTCCTGCCGCTCCCCCAGGAGGCCCTTCCCCTCGCCCAGCCGCTTCATCAGGCGGCCGAGCAGCACCGTCTGCCCCTCGCCCATCAGAGTGGCTTTGGAGAGCAACCTGGGCTCGGAGCAGAAGGGGGCGGCCAGCGGATCTGAAGGCCACCAAGGGCCCTCTGACGCAGACGCTGACACAAGTGGTGCCTGTGCTGACCACCCCCTGCCCCGGCCTAGGGCCCCTCCCAAGGCCCGCGTGGCTCTGTCCTTCAGCAGGTTTCTGAGAAGAGGCTGCCTAGCCTCGCCACCGGTCTTTGCCAGGCTCTCTCCTAAGTGCCCCACTGTGTCCCACGGGAAGGTGCAGCCCCTGGGGGATGCAGGCCAGCAGCTGCCACGGCTGAAATCCAGAAGAGTTACAAAGTGAGAACCAGAGGGGACTGTGCCGTGTGTGCGTCTACACCCATGTGGGCATGAGCATGCACTTGTGTGCACGTGTGTCTGGGGATGTGCAGTATGTGTGCGCACATATGCCTGTGGGTGTGTGCACATGTCTGGGTGTGTGCATGTATGTGGGCATGCACGTGTGTGCACATATGTCTCTGTGTGCATGTATGTCTGTCATGTGTACTGAACCCCTGGTGGTGTGAATGTGGTTTAGAGTTCGGGGCTGAGATGCTGGGTCTTGAGGAGGATTCTGGGCAAGGAGGCACCACAAATAGGCTGTTAAACCCTTTGGTCACTGGATAGTTTCCAGAAACTCAGTGTTATTCTCCCCTGTCTTCCTGAGGAAGGAGAAGGAAAGGTGTCTTTCCCGTCCACCTTCTTTCTCTTTGCCCCATCCCAGGAGCATTAGTCTGATGAACCGTGGAACTTGCACAGTGCAGGAGAGGCCAGTGGCAGCACGGGAACCACAGGTGGGGGGAGGCTGGGCGGGGGCCTGGGGCTGCAGCCATGACCCCTGCCCCACCCTGCCCCCTGTCCTTGCTGTCCTGGCATTGCCCCCCACCTGTACTGCCTGCACAGGCCCTCGGAGGGACATTCAAGGACCCCCTGCTCCTGCAGTTGTCTGTGAAAATGGTAGTGCTCAGTCTATGTTGAGAGGTGGCCCCTCAACTCCATTTTAGAAGGTGCTGCAAGCCTGACTTGAGGACCCTAAATGCCCTGAGGCAGCTGACCGGGTGCAGGACAGAGGCTCTGAGGAGTAACTCTTGGACCAGAGGCAGAAAGAACAGCTGTAGTCAATGCAAATCAGAGAATCAGCCCCCACCTTTTTGGGAGAGACAGAGGCACCCCTTGCATCAGTCAACATACTCCTGTGTTAGGCCTGGCCTGGTTGCGGAGAAAGAAGGTGCCATGCTGATGGCTTTGGTTGCTATGGATACCTGAATACCCCCAGCCTCTGCTGTGCAGTGTGCTTGGGAGACAGCAAAGAGCACACGGCCTGTGTCAGTTGGGGAAGCAGGAAGGAAGGGGTCAGGATACATGGTGAGCTGGAATCATGTCTACTGATTCTTCCCAATTAACCTTGCTCAGAGAATGTTCTAGCTTTGCAGCCCCTGCCATGCCCTACACATGGGCTTCGGACTTTAAAAAGGCTCTTTCCTCAGGGCCACCACTTCATCAGAAGGCAGTTTAAAGGGGTTGAGGATTGAGTGCTGGTATGTTCTCAGGGGCATCCTGAATTCATCAAAACCATAAAGCTTCATGCCCCTTGAAAATGAAAACAAAGCATCTTTTGAATTATCCTTAATTCAGCAGGAAAATATGAGTCCCCTTCCACTGCATATAAAAAGGACCCAACCAAGCCAATTGCTGCATGTACAGCTTTTGGCAAATATGTCTGTGTATCACTCTTCCACAGGGTAAGCAGGGGGTCTGGGGTCCCTCGCGTCCCCACACGTGCTTTCCTTCTGTGCCCGAAGCTTTTTCCAGATCAAAATGGATGTGCCTACCGAGAGTGGGACCTGTCTGATGGACTCAGAGGACACCGGGACAGGAGAGTCGGCGGAGCAGGCCACAGAGAAGGAGGTCATCTGTCCCTGGGAGAGCCTGGCCCACGGCAAGGCCGGCTGAGCCAGGGTCCTTGGACCAAGAGGATGCTCCCAGCAGACTCCACTGTGTGGGGCACGCTTGCTCTCGAACCAAAGTGCATTACAATAATATTTGGGGTCTGGAGAGATGAGATGGGGTGGATTATGGGGGAGCATGCTCTGGCTGGACTCCCAGTGGCCAGCTCCTTCCCTTCCTCCTAACCCTCCCTCCCTTGGGCAGAAAAAAGGCATGTGGACCAGAGAGCTATACTTGCTGCCTTAAAACTGATAAAGAGTTAACCTGTAAGAATCTCTTGGATTGGACTGTTAGTGAGTGTCTGGTTTTATTAGGTATTCATGAGCTATCACTTATGAGTTAAACTCATGTCTTCTTTGGTTTTCTGGAAAAGGGGGCATTGAGTCACTCCCAAGGACTCCCTCCCTGTCTAAACTGGCTTGCGTATGATACTTTTCTCAGCGGAGCTCGGCCAGGGATGCCCCAGGCCGTGGCATCATGTGGGGGTGGGGGTGAGGAAAGGCATCCTTCGAGAATGCCCGGTGTGTTGATCAGATCCACCAAGAAGCAGATGCCAACAGGAGCAGATGGGCAAGGGATGTGTTGGGGGAAAACTCCTGTGAAAGATAAAGGGTGGGAGCTGGAGAAGGAGGTGAGGGCCTTCAGACCATGGAACAGGGTTGAGCCCTGGGGAGTCAGGAGGGGTCAAGGAGTGTCTCAGATGGCAGTGTAGTTCCCAGGTCCGGGACAGTCTGCTGGGGTGTCCTTGAGTCGAAGTCTCCTCTGGAGGGGTGAGAATGGTTCTGGATTGGTACCCCCACTGTGCAAGGTCACAGGCTGGAAGCACCTGTGGGAAGCCTGTCCCTGGCGTGGGTGTGCTGGTGGCCATCCATCCAGATGCTTCCTGCAGCAGCAGATCTGAGCATGTGTACTCATGTCTGCTGCACCAATCCAGCTGGCACCCTGGAGGTTTGGGCCCTGGTGCACCCCTCCCAGCTCTTCTCCCAGTTATTTACTCAAGTGTTTTCTGAGTCCCTATGATGTGCCAGCACCTTGCTCACCACGGGGATTCAGCTGTGGGAAACACTCCTTGGTTCATGGAATTCATCTCGAGCAGAGGTTCTCGATCAGGGGACAACTTGACCCCCAGGGGACACTGAGCAGGGTCTGGAGACATTTTTGCTTGTCAAGACTGGGATGCCAGTGGCACCTAGTACGTAGGGATGCTGCTACCATCCTACAAAGCACAGGACAGCGCCCCGGCTCTCCACAGTGAAAAATTCTCTGGTCCTAAGTATCAGTGCCACTGTTGAGAAACCCTGGAATAGAGGTTACAGCTGCAGGTACAGGGTATGGAACATCCCCTGGGCTGCTGGGCGTGTGCCCCTTGTCGTTGCTTTCTGCGCAAAGCCCTGGATCCTGCTCTGATCATGATTGGGTTGGATGGTGGGTTAAGATAAAGGGCTGCGTGGCAAACAACCATTTCTTAAAAGTTGCAGGGGAAGTCCTCAGAGGAAAGAACATTCAGGTGGGTTGCCAGCCCACTCATGCCCCTCCTCTTTATCTGCAGCTTCATCAGAACTCAATCACTGCTTCACCTCAGACGACTCCCTTACTCAGCCCATAAATACTGAGCCTACTGAGTCATCTCTCTGCACACTTCTAAAGGCGGATGGGCAGGTGCATGGCCAAAACTTGGACTTGCTGACCATCAGGAGGCACACAGACACTAAGGGAGTTGGCTGATCAGTTTTTGCTTGGCCAACTATTTAGTAAAAACCTATAAAATGCAGCTATGCTCTATTCCATGGTTGGGAGGCTTTTAATTCATTCAAAATGATTATCTGCTAGGAGCCCAACACCAGGTGAGGTACCAGGAGTAAAGCCGATTCCCTCACGAGGTCTGTGACTTCTTGGAAGCAAGCTGAGGCAGTCAGATCTACAGGCCCCTGGTAGTGAGTGCACGGCTGCAGGACGCATGAGTCCTGCCCTGTTCCCTCCAGTTTGGGGCAGCTCCTTGATTGCTCGTCTATGAACTGGAGGGTGATCATTGGATCTGTCTCATAGGGTGACTTGGAAAGATATAAAATGCAATGGTACTCACATAATGTTTTGCTTGTTTAGAACTTTATAGGGTGAAAGAAGAAAACAACTTTATTTTCCCCTCTCAACTCTCCCTTTAAACCTGCACTGTGAGTTATTTCTCTTCCTAATCCTAGATGAAAGCTCAGGCGAGTCTTATAACTTTTCTCTTCCCTTTTGGATAATAAATCCTCCAAGCACGATCAGTGACAGGAACAATCTCAATTTAGCTCTGTAGGCAGGCAGGTCAGATGCCAGTGTCGTGAGCGGGACTCGGAACATTCCCCAAAGGCTAAGCCCCTTCTGTCCTCCAGCTGTCGTCGTTCCAGGCCGGGATGCCTGTGGTGAGATGCCTGGGGTCAGTGTCTCTTTTCCGTGCCTTGCTCTGCTTTCCTTCCTTACCCCACTCGTTGTGTGGCCTCTGGCCCCCGGGGTGGGTCGGAGAACAAGGATGTTCTTTGATGACTGACACAGAAACCACCATCATAGTCTTGCTGGGATCCCCTGCTGGCGCTTCTTAGGTAGGATTTTTCTAGGTTTCTGGGGCCTTCTGGCTTCAGCTTCCTTGCATCTCCTTCAACTGGCTGCCTGAGCAGCTCTTGGCCACTGAGCACTCTCAGGTGTGGTCACACTCCTTGTTGCCAGGGGAAATTCAAGTAGCTGCAGGTTGACCCCCTTTTGTGCAGCCCCCTCAGACTCCAGCACCCTTTTCCTAGCAGGGCACCCTTGTCCTCATTCTCCCGCTCTGCTGCATGGCCCTGCCTGACCCCAGCTTTCCTCTGGTACTTTCCCTCTTGCTCTGGCTGCACAAGTCAAGAATGTGAAACCCCCTCTTATCTTAAGAGCAGGCAAAGCCCCCTCTTTCCCAGTGATGGGATTTGCAAGGCTAACTTTGGGGCCACCTCCTGTGCTAGTTTCGCCCACATGTCCAGCCCCTCACTTGCACCTGGGCAGGTGGTTAGCACCTACTGTTTTGTTCTGAGCCTTTGGGGCCACAGCAGAAATGAAGACAGAAGAATCCTATTTTAACATCTGTTGCACTTGTGAGTTTCAGGAATGTACTTATTTTCCTGCTTTAGAAAACGTACAAGCAGAGTCATTTCCCCAGAGTTGGAGGTGGTTGTCCTTCTGCCTCCAGGGAGGGGCCCCTTGGCGGCCCACGTGGGGCTGGGCCTTCACCGTGCTGTCCTTGGTTGTTTGCTAGGAAAGGAGCGAAGGCTCTTTAAGGGGTCTGCACCAGCCACATACCCTAGGGCCGCTGGGTGCACAGGTGGGCTGGGGAGGCAGAGGCTCCACTCACCTTGGCCTTGGGGGCCCAGCCCATAGCTTTGGGTGCTGGCCTCTCCTCTCACTTCACCAGAAGAGGGAGTCCCAGGCTCACAGATCCCCACAGACGGTCGCTGAGTTTCCCCTTGGGAATCCAGAGACCTGTGATGCTGAAGGGAGAGGGGCTTGGGGAGAGGCACTTTCCTCGTGGGAAGGCCACCCTGGGGTGGGGCTGGGGGCAGTGGGAGAGCCTGGGCCTCCCCAGCCACTTGTCTGCCTGTCCTCAGTGGTAGAGCCCCCACGCTGGCCCAGGTGGGGACCATGCTGGGTTGGCGCCCCCTTGACTGCCCTCACTGTGGGGGCCCCTTCATGGTTCTCCTGGCTATTGTGCCCTGATGGGGACAAGGAGCAGTTGCTCTGTCCCTAGTGCATTTGAGTGAGGGTTGAGACTGCAGAGAAATGAAACCTCTCCCTCCCCCTCAGACCATGACCAGTAGAATCCCACCCTTGGAGGGTCACCTCTGTGTCAAGCTGACTCCTAGGACTGGAAACCAATTAAGCTTCAGTCACCTTTCCTTGCTCAGCCTGACTGGTAGGTCAGCCCCTGTGTTGAGCAAGTGTGGCTGGAGGAAGGGGTGTCCAGAGGGCCAGAACTGGGTGGTCTACAGGGGGAACAAATGGTACCATGAAACAAGCTGTTCAAATTCTCCGCTGATGGGAGGGACCGATGTAGGGCTGTAGGACAGGGGGATGAGGAGGGGTAGCTCATTTTATTCTCAAGAAGCAGATCAAGGCTCTTCAAAGCACCTGTGAGGGGAGGCATGCACTAGGGACTGGGTTTGGTTATAGGTCCATGAGCATCAGCCGCGTCTGAGGAGGGGAGGGATTCTGCCTGTGCGTAGAGGTGTGTGTACACACACAAGTACACACCCAAGCACCAGGATGGGGTGTGTCACCCTGGTCTGTGTGTGCATGGATGTCTGGGCGGTGCACACCTGGGATGCTGTGGATGGGGGCTGGCGCTAGTGGGACACTACCAGCCCCAACACATCAGTCACTCAGCAGTGAGCTTGGAGACCGTGCAGCATGATGCACGTGGAAAGCATCAGAGCACGTGCCCCTGAGAAGTGGATGTTTATGAAGAACACCTCTGTCTCTCTGCCCCCAGCACTCAGGGAGCCAGCACAGCATGTCAGACAAGGGTGCTGGGGTGGAGCAGGCTTCAGTGCGCAGGACCGTGGCCATGCTCAGAGCTGGTCCTGGGCAGAATCACAGCAGGTCTCTTCTAGAACCTTTAGACAGAAACCCGTTTTCATAGTCGATCTCCTTACCAGTTTGGTATTCTCTGTTCCTCCTCCTTAGCCCATAGGTAGCCACCAGGTTGTCTTGTCCCGAAATTCTCGATCTTGGGGAGTTAGGGATTTGGGCAACCATAGCTTACAGGCTTACATTTAAAGAGTCACTCCATGAATTCCTGCCTGCATTTAATCTTCACTACAACGCTGTGAAGAGACAGCGTCACCAGCCTTATTTTTCAGATGGGATTTTTCCCACTTACAGCTGGTAGAAACACTCCATTGGGAGGCTAATGCACGTTATTTTCTTTGTGTGTGTGTTATATATTTAAAGTTTGGAATTAAAAAATACAGAAAATACAAGTACTATAACTACCATCCATATACACATCATCTAGAATTCATGTTAGCAATGCCTTAATTACTTCTAGTGCTTTGAAAGCAAACAACAAAAAAGGCAAAATAATATTTCCATCCTCCCTTCTCCATCCTCCCTCTTATCTTCTATGTCAGCAAATTTTTTCAGTAAATGGTCAGTTAGTAAATATTTTAGACCCTGCAGGCTACATTTGGTCTCTGTCATGTATTCTTATTTAGAAAAAAATAAAAAATAAAAATCTATCATATCATTGATAAGGGAT